GAGATTATGAACAGATAGTAAGCAAAAAAAAAAGAAGAAAAGTACGCGCGCGATGAGGATCGGAAGGTATCGATCATCCGAGCTTCTCGAAGTCAATGCGTTTGACGTCTAGAACAAGTGTGTTATATATAAATATAAACATTATAAATACATATTAAAATTTAGATTTATATATATATATATATATAAATATATATGTAAAAGAGAATGTTATATATAGAGAAAAACGGCAACAGGACGGGGCCTGCAGAGGCACAGAGAGAGAGATATCGATTATATTATTACAACACTTTCTTCACACACGAACGTTGCTATTAATATACTTTTATTGTATGATTATCGTTATATTATTATTGTCATTATAACATTATTATCTCTCGAGCGAGATCAAATAGGATCGACAATCTTATTATAACTGTCTGTCACTTTCGTTATCCGGATGAATATTGCGATTACGCCACCATCACGAGAAGCGTGACAAGTGATTAGCATACGCGAGAAAGGGATATAATTGTAATATCAATCGCTGTAATTAATTTCGGACGAGTGTGCGCGGAATTCCTCGAGATTTATCCTGCCGTGATGATGAATTATTACACGATCCACTTCGAGCTTAAATTGTCCATATACGAATGGCAGCCTCGCGGCTGCTTGTATGATTACAGCAGTTCTTCTCGATGCAATTATCGAATAAATCGGATCAGTAAAAAAAAAAAAAAAGCACCGTATCTTCTGATTAACGCATAGTCATCTGATATCACGAAAGCCAGTTGCATTACATTTTTGAGTGTTATTCGAGAATCGTCAACTGGCTTACTCAGATCAATTTCAATCAAAGTGATTCAGAATTCAAGGTAAACTTTTAGATGAAATTTTAATGTATTTTTTCCGATGTTGCGTAAAATGTCTTGTCTGAAATTTTCTGAATGTAATTGAGATGTTAGGAGTATGATTTGTTCCAACTGACACATATCGTGTATGCACAATCTAGAGTTACGTATTTGATGATTTTATCATCGAATCTTATTAACTGTCAATTCTCCCTGATAAGTTCTCATTACTCGCGACTGTAAGAAGCTGCGATTCTTTTTAAGGATTTTACACTATTTAGTTTTTTTATCTCATTTATATATAACTTAGTATTACTTTATGCGCCAATAAGTACTATAAGTATTTTCACTAGTATGACAGGTGACGATGGCGGCGACGACGACAATGATGCTGATTATAATTATCCTTATCCTTAGTATCGATTATTATATACGCATATATCATACTCCGTTGTGTATTGTCCAATAACATCCCGCATTATTTTGTAAAGAAGAATAAAAATATCTTGAGACACATAAAAAACGCAAAGGAGAAACAGCCCGATTCAATCTGCTCATTTCATCTGAGATTTTATTCCAGATTTTTTGTTCCAAGTTGAAAGTCGTCGCATCTCTCCCGAGGATATGTATATTCTGTCGAATTTACATAGTGACGTAATGAAGGGACACCGGCGACACGTATCTAATGAAACTCGACGAACGCAGCGGATATACACTAAATGGCGCATTCTGATTGCAATTGAAATAGACAATTTGTTCATTCAATCGTTGCGACTGTAGTTCCTCCTCCAGCGTTGCTGCTTGATTGTCAGACATTGTCGTGCTCTTCAAGATCGTCGCCGCTGGCGTGATCGCGCCGGAAGTGCCTGCGGGGAAAAGCCGACAATTATTTTCGATAATTCGCGACAATCTTGTTAATTGGCAAGACCAATTTACGAGATTATCAACAAGCGAGTTTGCGAACCGGTCGCGATTCGAAAAGGGCGACGTCAGACCTGGCTTTCGGCCTCGGAAAATATGACCTTCGGAAAAAGAGCGAAAAAGTCGATCGAGAAAAGTAAGAGAACTGATCTTAATTAAAGATATTCTCTATTATATGCAATTTAACTTTCTTTTAACGAAAAAAATAATTTTAATAAAATATCGCATATATAGAGTCTCGACCTGTCAAATTTTCAAATTAATCTAATCCTAATTATCCCAAACATGGGATAATCAAAATATTTATATAACAAACCGCATTGAACAATTAACGTTGACAATTACGTGAGAATTTGAACATTTTTGTCAAAAAATAATTCACGGTAATATATAATATCTAATAAAGTCGGAGAAGAGAGATTGAATAAGAAAAGTTACAATCTAGTGACCTTGAACGATCGATGACTCTGGTATGTCGGAAGGCTCGATCTCGTGGATTCCATGGGTGATGCGGAATATCGGCACCGCGTTTCCGCCCGGTGCCTGAGGTAACAGCACACGAGAGGAAATTAATGGAATCGCCGGGATGTTTGCGCCGCCGACAATTTCCTCCGTCGCTTTTCCGGAGGATTCCTGTTGACCATTTTTCAAAATATCGATGAGGAATTTCGGGACGGGAATATTTCGCGAAATTTTCAAACACTGGTAGCTTGGACATTCCATTAACTATCTCGTTCAAGAATTTACAAATTTTATATAAATAAACTGAATTCTTTTTATTAAATATTATTTAAAAATTTATAAGAGAAAATAAGATAGCTTTTTTAATCCAATGTCCATGAAGTATATTTAAAGAATTATTTTAAGAGAGAAGAGTTTTGAGGGAATGGAAAAGAGATTTTAGAAATTCTAAGACTCGAATAAATAATTTATACGCAAGGTGAGTCAAATATAAAAAATATTATCATTCTTACAAAAATTATTTTTTAAAGATTGCGGCAGAATTATTTTTTTATAATTAACATACCTCATGGATATTCTGCGAATTCTCGCTCGTCTTATCGACGCCGCTTCTGGAAGCAACCGCTTGCAGACTCTCGTCGTTATCCTTTTTCAGCTCGTCCTTCTTCGTGTTCTTGTTCTCTTCCTTCAGCGGAAGTTTGGCTTCCAATTGTTCTTGCGTTTTGCCGAGATTCGCGTTACCTTGATTACCCTCGAGTTTTCTTTCCTGCGCGTTCCCCTCTTGATTCATGTCAAGACTCTGAGCCTGTTCGTCCCTTCGCGTCGCCATTTCCACAGCCTGAAGATGCGCCGTGCGCGCGGCCATCACTTCCGGCGTGTCCTGGACCGGAAGCGGCGCCTGCGGAAGATTCGTGGCGAACACCCGGAACCCATTCTCGCCGTCGGCGACGTATTGCGCGGTCTGGATCACGCCGGTTTCATCGACGTAGCTGTAAGTGCCTCTGGTCGCGCCGTTGGACGTTCTGACCTCCGACCTGGCCGATCCTGGCGCGCTGTAGCCGAAACTGTACTGGCCCAGGCTGTCCTGATAGCCAAGGAACACCGACTTGGCAAAGCCGGAAGCAATCAAGCACTGAACAAGAAAAAGCTGAAAACGTGTGTCAGATCAGCCTATGATTATGATTTGCAGAGATTTGTATAACTTGCCGCGTTTGCCTGCGGTTTGTATGATATCTTATTTATCGCAAATTTGCGGGAGGTGTTAGGTGTTTAGAATTATGGATTAATATCATCCGGGATGATATTACAACGAGATGATTATCAGTTGTTTACTTCGAGAGCGGCGTGAATCGAATCCCCGTTGCGTCTGTCATAAATTTATTGTGCTCCAACATTTATGCCTAGATTTTTAAAATAAAAATTTTCTTCCCTCTTGCGTAATTTTTAACTCTGCCCGTATGTATTAGACTACCACTGTATTAATCATATAATAATCTAGCTATAAATAGAATATAGAATATAAAGCCTCTTGCTCACTGCTTTTATCAAACAGATTTCTCTAGTAAAATAAAAATTTTACGACACAAGGAGAGAGAAGCGAATCTCCTCCGCCGAATAATTTATATCACGAGCGATTTTTGTTAGAGATAATCCTGTAGTCGCGAAACCCACGTAAGACCACCAACGCGACGCGGATCTTAGAATCGATATCGGTTTTTCTACACACGGAATAGCCAGGACGAGCACTTACGGACGCGATCTTCATGGTGATCTTTACGTATTGACGACACGTCGATTGTGTATCCTCGATTCCGACATGCAGCCAGGACACCTTTATATACGCGATGGCGTGCGACCACGCCCTGAGGCAACGCGTGGTCCTCTTCCTCCTCTCGCGAAGAAAAACTCGTGAAGCCGACGAAGACCGCGAACGCGGCGAAAACTGGTCTCGTGAGTGTCTTCGAGGTCGCGATCATCGGAATCCGGCTTCGGGACAGAGATATGCCTGTTTTCCATCAGGCGCCTTTTTTCCGAGCCAGGATCCGCCTCGCTCTACGTCTCGCTACCGCCAAGGTCGCGCGTAATCTCGCGATCGTTATCGCGGGGGAAGGGAAGGGTACCGAGCGGAATCGCGAAGAGGAGGATTATTAGGGACGCTAATTTATCGCCCGTTTATATCCTCTCGATCGATTCGCTTAGGGGTGCGGAATCTCTCGACTGGTTCGCGAGAATCGGTTAAGTCTATAAGATCTTATGGAGACTGCGAAATGAGATGCGGAATATTTTATTACCGTCTCGCTATTTGAGTCGAGACAAATCGAATGCTTGAGCCACAAAATACATGCAGGAGATAAACGATTTATTTTATATTCATTGTAAGATAACAATTTTTCACAATATTTTATATGGTATAATGTTTCTGTTTTTGTAAATCTAGTAGAATGCGCATAGTGTCTTGGCTGAGAATAATTGTTCTACAAACAAAAGATAGATAAATATTCTATACTAATTCTATCGCATCTTTCGTTCTTTTGTCGAATAAAAGCATTTTTTACATTTGACATTTTATTATGTAATTTTTGTTTATATAAAACTTCTTCTTTTGTCTTCAAGTGTTATGTGCGATTATGTGTTAAAAGAGATCAGCAGAATTTATATTAATACATTAATTCATCTTTAATTATATATAGTCAATAATAGTTGCCTTTTACAATGATTTTATAATTTTTCGTTATATAATCTCATATATTTCTTTTTTTAGTATAAATTATGAAGACCAAACCTTGCTGTAATTGTATCATATATTAAATAAAATGCCCCACAATAGATCGCCTCGTAAACAATGATGCAACAAGAAAGAGATAGAAGAGAGTAACCGCCTATGCATAATCCATTACTATCTGACATGCAATTATTCAACACCTAAGCTAAGAAACATGTCTTTTCCAAAAGGGTGCTTCGGGTAAATCCCTTCTTTTAGTAAATCAATCTGCCGTAAGCGAGAGCTGGACCTGCGATCGCCAGAGCGTCCACGGATCTCGCGTTGTTCGCCGGATTCTGATCGTCACGAGCCACCACCGTTTCCGGCACGTTGTCCAGGGGCCTGCCGTCGAGACCGACGGGCACCAGAGCGACGACACCGTTGCCGAGCACCAACGGGACCACGGAACCGTCGCGGAGTCGCGCGAGAACGTCGCCTTCCAGGTTGATCTTCTCGTTGACACGCGTGACTTTCGGTGTATTCAGAATTGTTTCGGTGAGGGTCACATCGTCGTTGGTTTCCGACAAATTCGTTGCGCTACCGGATCTCGCAGCCTCGTTCGCTAGATTGATCTTCTCTTTGACGTGCGCGGCCGCGTGGGCCGCTTTAGCTGCCGCGACTTCCGGCGTGTCCACGACCCTACCGTCGACGCCGAGAGGCGCGCCGTCGTTGACGAATCGGGATGACGATTCTTGTTCTCGTGGCCCAATTGAAGCCCCAGCTTCGTTTGCCGAATTCGTCCTTCTCTCGTCGAGATGCGCGATCGGGTCTTTAGGCCTGTCCAGAGTCTGTCCGCGGTTGGTACCAACGGGTGTCAAGGGTGTCACGTACGTCAACGGTACGGACAGAAGAGCGGGCTTAGCCGAAATCAGACTGATCAGGCCCATCATCACGATCGCGAAGCGTCTCATCTCTCTTTGTCGGGATATCCAGAACACAGGAAGTGACGGTCTTGTTCAACGCAATCGACGACGAGGACAGTGCAATGTCACGTAGGATGCACTCGATGCACGCTGGCGCGGTCGCTTTTATAGCCCTTCTAGATCACGTAATAGGACGATCGATAGGGACGATCGCGGGACGGCGCGAAGGGAGGAGACCTAGAATCATCCGAGAAACGGAAAGTGGTGCATGCGGTGATCGGCCACTTCCGTTTCGCTGGAGCAAGGTAAGCCTGTAAAGCGAGAGCTTACGGCGGGATGGCGGGAGACGACGGCGGGATGAAACGGAGAGGGATTTTCTTTCTTACGAGGTCGGGAAGACACACGATCCCGTTCCCATTTCTCCGCCAGATCGGCCGCGATCTACAAGGTCGCGCTTACGACGTAAAGGCTGCGTCGCGATCGCGTAATCAATGCTAGGAGCGGGCTTATTGTTGTTTTTGCTCGATTAGGTAAGGATGCCTTTCTATCTGCCTGCCTGCCTACCTGTCTGCTTGCCTGTTTACCGTATTACTTAATCCTTGATTAGACCGATGTGAAAACGAATTCGTCAATCTTTTTGCACTTGTTGCTTTTTACAAATTTTTATAATTAATCTAGTATATTTACAGATTTTTCCGAATAAATATAAAAAGTAAAATTAAAGCGTATAATAATTTATGGTGTTCATTTTTTACTAATAAACAAAATTTATCTTATATATGTAAAAATTGGATTGATTTATAATTTATTAATAATTAGTTACATTTAAATAATTTCTCTCTTTAGGAAAGAAGATAAATTTTTAAAATAATTTATATACTTATACATATAACATATTTTATAATAAACGTTGATTTTGAAACACTTTTTGAGCTGAGAATGATTATATGATTGCTACACATTTTTGAAAGTTTTGATGCAGAATTTAATTGTGGTGAAACTTTGTTTATCGCTGATATTTCACTTAACGATATAAATCTCTTAAATAAGCAGTCCTTTCTTCATCAAATAGTTATCAAATAGTTGTAAGTTGTCCAAAAGACAAAGAATTATATATTTACATCAATGATCAAATTCAAAATGTATAAGGAAATCATGGACAAATAAGCGACGTCAAAAAAGCGAGCACGACGAATCGATCATTTCTACGCAGATTCGATTGATCTAGTTGGAAGGAGGAGGGACGACCAATTTAGGTGAACGTCGTGAGGGTCGTGAGTGCCGACAGAGGTGACGCTAATCGCGATCACATGAATGAAAGCGAGACGACGATGGGCGTCAATGTCAGATGTGTATACCGATTGGTATACGTGGCGATGGACATATCCTGGTAACATGAAGCGTTCGGCACAAAGCCTCTTTTTCCGACGGGGTATATATAAAGCGGCATTGGGGTGTAGGACATATTATCCGAGCACCTTGGCGAGTACTGATCATCGGTAGCGCTAAAAAGGAGCTAAGCGATTCCATTCAACATGAAGGTTTTCGTGAGTATAAATTAAAAATTTTAGTTCTGAAAATATTATATTATATAATTAATATTACGGTATATTTTCTTAATTTTATATTGTTGCGTTTGCGATAAAATTAAAGAAACGACAGATGAAGACTGATATTCCTTTAATTGTATCTACTGTGTATTAGCTTTTATTTAAAATGCTTGGATTACGTGAATAGATTATATTTTTTTTTTTGTAATAAACTAAACATACATTAAACAACTCTAAATTAACATATATTAATTAATTTTTTAATGCATACAGTATATTTGTGTTAAGATTAAACAGTAATTAAACAGTTCTTTTCTCAGAACTTGCTTAAGTAAATACAGAAGATATGAAATAAAGTATAAAACTTCCTGTAAAAAAATAGAGAGTATTAATATACAAAAAATAAATCTCTCTCTCTCTCCCATGATACATTTTTCAGATCGTTCTTTCCGCTGTTCTGGCTTGCGCCTTCGCTCGTCCATCACTGATTTACGCCAAGCTAACACCCGGGGCACCGATCGGTCTAGACGGCCGGGTAGTGGACACAGCGGAAGTAGCGTTGGCCAAGGCCGAGCACGCGGCCGCTCACATCAACGAGAAGATCAATCTGGCCCAGGAAGCCGTCAGATCGGCCGACGTGCTCACTTACGTCGCGCCGGCGAACGTGGCCGTGATCGGCGGGGCCCAGCTGGTGGAACCGGTCGCGGTGGCGACGAAGCTGGTGCCCGGGGCACCGATCGGGCTCGACGGGCGCGTCGTGGACACGCCGGAAGTCGCCCTCGCCAAGGCGGAACACGCAGCGGCGCACATCAACGAGAAATTCAGCCACGAGGCCGCGAGATCGGCCGTTTACGAACAACCGCTCGTCTTCCTGGGTCACGGTGCGCCGATCGCTCGTCTCTATATCCATTGAATTAAACTTGTTATAAAAAACACACAATAACGTTGGGATGTAAATAAATTTGGATTACCTTGGCATGGCGTAATTCTGCGAGTATTTCTTTTCAATTATCACTCTCCTTTTGTACGTTACAAAATTACAGCTAGAATTTTTGAAGATGTCCTTGTGAGACTTGCTCCGACTCATACAAAGTTCTGAATTAATAAATATATTTTGCAAAATATTCCAATACATTTTTTATAATATCGCTAATTGTAAAGCAAATATTTCATTTCCGAAGTTTGCGTAAAAACTTGCAAAGATGCAATAACTAGCGATAAATGCTATGCAACTGCATTCTAACAAGCGTATCTTATGCAGAGAATAATAAAAGATTAATAAAGAATATTTTATTATAATACCATATAAATTATAAATTTCTCTCTAAAATTTAGAACTCTTTACATATTTATTTCATAAACAATCATGCTTTTCTCTTTATCGAATTACATAACGAAACTATTCGTATAATAGTCTGGTGTCGTCACACGAAGAATACATACCTAATTAGACATTTAAATATTTATTATGAAAAGAGAGCAAATTTTTTTTTATACACCATGATATTGTAAATGTTTGCATGAAACTTATGCGGAGCTGTCAAAGTGATAAAGTAATGCCATTAATGAGACGATGACTTCTTGATCTCAGGAAAGATCGACCGTTTGCACCACAATGAAACGTCGCAATCCCATTCATGAGATGCAATAATTTAGAAATATGCCTTTTACAAATTTAGCAAGTGAACTCATTGTCTGTGAAAATTATTATTAACGCGCTCGCTATTTTTATAAACTTTTTATTTATGCTCATCAATCTCTCGATATTTATATCTATCGCTATTGTAATAGCGAACGCTTCTTGTAACCGCTTATGTTGCCGAGCATATGTAATCTCGCTAACAATAATGACATAATCATTGAAAGACGATGACGATAATAGACTTGTTGCGCACGATTTTCGGCCATTTCTCGAATGACTGATTTTTTAGGTCACCCCATAAGCGCTACATGGTCTATGTAACATTGACAGGCAGCTCCTTCGCATGTAATCAATTAGTTTTTCGCGAGGATTATCGAAAAAAAATACCGGCCGCTTTGCTTTCTCGTGTTACACACACGTCATTTTCTTTTTCTTACTTAATGATTACGCGACATTCGCGTTTCACCGAATCGCACAATGTGAAATCTGCCCAATCTAGCAAAAATATTTTATCCGCTTTGCGGTAAGATTTGCGCCGCGATGACTATCCCGCGCAATAATAGTCACACTGTCACTTTCGTAACATCAATATTTCTCGCTCGTCGAACGAACGACTCAGGGGTGGTCGCAACAAATCATTCGTCGATCCAATCGAGCGCGGCAATGCAGATTGATAAGCCGTGTGATAGTGAAGTAACGACGGGTGTTAATGAGCGAAACGGCGAGGAAAGGCGCGGCCCCTCCTACGATGACAGTAACGCGTCACCTTGCTTGTTCGCATTTACCGGTGCACTTTGCAATGTACAATAAGTTTTTATATCGAGCGATGTCAAAGGTGTTTGCGCGACACACCTCTTGCATACATCGTGCTCGGATCTATTCAATACATATTCGATGTATAAAACACACGCCTTTATAGAGAGATATTAAAATTATCTCTGGGTTCACCTTCTGAGAAATCTATTACATTATATAAAAATTAAATAAAAATTTCTATATAATTATATAATAGAATAGAATTTTAATTTAAGAATAGAATATAAAATTCTATAATTTAATTATAGCATTATAACTATAGAAATATTATAAACTAAAATTAGAATATTTTGACTTAAGAGATTATAATTAATAAAAAATGTTTGAAATATTTATACGACGAATATGTTTGAAGACATCTTATATAAAATTATTGCAGAGATCCGTATACGCCTTAAATGTACTACAGCAATGCGTTTTGTATCACGGGAATGCATTCTCGATGCACTTCGTCCTTCGACTTTGAGTCCTTCGAGTCGTTTGTTCAGGGCTGGTAAGTCGTTTAGCGTTCAAACACGCCTTCGTTGTTTCTCAACATCGCATGGTCCATTCTATCAGCGGACGCGATTTAATCAGACTCATTCGAAGCGGAGTGAAAAATAGAGGTTCTTTGGTTCAATAACGCGATAAGGATAATGAAACATTGAATTAATATATGCGTTATTAAATTCCTGCCGCAGAATTTTGATCGACGCGAAAAAAGAAGAAATATCGTAAAAGGAAACTCGTGTAATCGAGATATTTTTCGACGTTAATTCCGTGAATGAAAATTCCCGATCTGTCGCGCGCACGCGAGAGAGATCGATTGCAATTTAAGTCTGTCAATCAAAATGCAATCGAGTGCACCATTAGCTACCGCGATACGTTTCCGATTACAAGTGCAGGAACCCCGTTCAAATGTCAAGGTCACCGATGGCGAAAGAGAGAAAGAGAGAAACGAGAGAAGGAGACAGCCTTTCCTTTTCCGATCCCCCGAGCAAACATCCCGGGTTAGCCGATCACCTCTTTGGCTCCCTCCAGGTCGCTGGTAATCGGTCCACGTGGGAGGGGACGGACGAACGCGACTATATATAAATGGTACCGACTGGCCGTTCTCCAGAAACATAAAACGCCGAACCGACGTCCGGCCCGGGTCCCTCAGTCCTGGGAGCGAATACTGACAGAGCAGCAGCGCTCTTTTTTTATCAGGAAGAAGGCGTGGGAGCCCAGCGAAGGATATAAGCCCCTGGACCATCATGAGAGGCCTGGTAAGTGATCCCGGGATAAAGGAAAGTGAAAGGTTGATCGAAAGTAATCGCGAGAAATGTCGATCGCGCAACTCAATGATTCGATAAGCAACAATGGTTCAACAATTGATTGTGCGTAAACGTTGAAAATTGGCGATTATTAAAATGAATCTAGGAATTTTTAAATAAAAAAAAATAGCTAGAAAGGTAATTGTACATAAAAAATAAAAATACACATTTTTTCACACGAAGCAAGTATCGCGGCATCTTTCTCAATCTTCTCTCTCCTAGATTTTCCTGCTCGCCACAGCGGTGACCTGTAGAGCCGCGTACGTCGGTCCATCCCCGTACGGGAGTCCCTTGGTCCACCCCCAGTCCCAGCAGATCGCCCCGAGCTTCGCGCCACCGGCTCCGGTCGGCGAGGACGGAAACGTCATCGACACGCCGGAAGTGGCACAGGCGAAGGCCGCGCACTTTGCCGAATTCGCGAGGGCCGCCGCCCGCGCGGTCCAGGACGAGAAGAATCAGCAACAGCCGTCCGGTTACAATCCGCACGTCTCGTCTCCGACTTACAGCTACCCAGCGGCCGTTCAACCTACGGCAGTGCCCTATCAGAGACAGGCCGGCGATTATCAGCGACCTACTCCGATCTATCAGACGGTGAATCATGTGCCGGCGCCGCCAGTCTACGCGCCGGTCAGCTATCAGCATCTCCAGCAATACGACGCTCGGGCAAATTTCGTGGACCAGAAGGGTTACGCGCTACCCGCCAAGACCACTACCTTCGTGCCGGCGCCGTTAGCCGAGGACGGGACGGTCGTAGACACACCGGAAGTGGCAGCCCTGAAGGCTGCCAGACTGGCCGAGCTCGCCGAGGCCGAGGCTCGGGCCTACAAGCACGCGAGCGCTCATCCGAACGAGGACCAGGGTCAAGGTGAGCCGAGGGAGAACTGATGATTTGTTGCGTGGGCTGCGTAAGACGCGTAGGGCGTGGATAAAATCCGCTCTCGCATCGGCTTAACAAGATCTCGAAATTTAATAGCTCGGCAGAGAATCTCTCGGCAAAAACAGATTAAATTGAAAAGTTTCAGACACTGCCTTAACGTGGAAATATAATAAATCGATAGAAATAATGTAATAAATTCTTATAATATTAAAGACTAATTCTGTTCTATAAAGGCTTAATTAGTTTTGTTGATTATATATTCTCACGTTCTGTCTTGTTCCTTTAAATCGCCAAGTATTTTCTACAACGTTTCATTATGTATGATTTTAGCTTATTCTGGATCGCCGGCCGGTCCCGCTCCCGTCAACTACAATTCTAATCTAGGACATTACGGTGCTTCCCAACAATTTTCAGGATCCTCGTATCCTGGAACTCAGCCTTACGCCACGCAACAAGCGTACAATCCGTCGTCGGGTTACCAGCCTCAGCGTTATCAGTCCCAGCGTCTGATAGGAACCTACTGATCTTGGCGCGAATCTGTACATACTCTAGATTAATAAATTGTTTTCCTCTTCTCTCTATGGACTTTTATTTTAGATTCACCTTTTTAATCACTTTTTTCTTACGATATGTTCATTGCAAATACTTGTATTGTGCCTTTTCTTCAAACACCCGATAATTGTGATATATAAAGACTGCTGAATAAAGATTTGATGGAAGGATGAACCTGAACATTTGTCTCCTCATCTTCCCTTATCTTTCTTTTTAATATAAAATGATTTTTATTTGAAGGGATTTGAAACAAATACTTAGTTAAATTATATTAAATTTTATATCTGGTCTTTGTAAATTGATGAGCGGTATAAATCTTAATTATTATTACAAAGAATATTTCATAATTTATACATCGTTAATTAAACACAATAATACAATAACTAACATTTCAAATTCAAATTGTCTATTGTGCATCGAATGCATACAAATATTCGATTAACTAATTTCTACAAATTTAAAGCGTACATTCAAAAAAGTGGTATTGCAACTACAGCAAAAATTTTCTGGGTGCGCAAAATTAACCGAGGTACATAAATGATTAGCAAATACTGTGATATCGCATATGTTTCGCATTTAATCAATCTAAGTGACAGAGACAGAATTTATATCTGAACTGTTTGTGAAATTTAGAAAGAATGTTTTTCTGTGGCGCCTATCCATGTTAAGGCCAATCATACTCGTTATAAAGTTTGGCTGTGGTACACAGAAAAAATTAGCCGCAAGAAACAAATGAATATATAATCCTCACATATAACATATTTGTATAATGCGCCCAATCTATCTAGCTCTTTTAAACAATTTCTCTCAATTTTTCAATGCTGCAGTTATAATTGGCAGTTATATTTCTCACAAAGATCGTTCTAGCTGTAGTATCGAAACTCATATTTATCCAATGCAGTGATTAACATTTGGCAATGGGACCTAAATTTTCTAGAAGATATTATTAGAATATTGCTGCTATAAATTCTATAAAGGAGCAGACAATATTCTAACAGATACAAAAAATAGCGATAAATTCTTGTTGTGTCACCTAGAAATCTACCTATATCAGCAAGACATTTTTTTGAGTGTAGTTTTATTAGTTTTCTTTGTAATTAATGGTAACATTGAAAGATAGAGAGAAAGATTAATATTGAGAGAAAGATTAATATTTTGAGAGATTGAAATGTAAATAAATGAGATCAACTTAAGATTCTTTTCTCATCGACACGCGCGGAGAAAAGAACTCGCGAAACGCGGGATCTCTCGTGAAAGAAATCGCGGCTCACGTGATGCAATTCTTATGTCTTAATCGAGATAGAAAT